GACCCTGGGACCATGACCCGAGCCGAAGGCAGCGGCTTAACCGACTGAGCCACCCAGGTGCCCCTGAGTACTGGTTCTTATATTTTAATGTATGCTTTATTATTTACTTAAAACTTTGGCTTAGATGGACTGATGAAAATAAGTTTTATACTTTATTTTCATTTTTTAAGTTGTTGTTTATATACTTTATTATATAAAGCAATCACTTGTAACTCTAGTTATGTTATGTATGCATTTTGGGTTTTTTTTGTTTGTTTGTTTGTTTGTTTTGGAAAAGCACTTGTTAACATTTAATGACCCTCCCTCCATGTGGCTTCAAGCTACTAGGACACACACCCTTAATCTTCTCCTCAGCTCTTCTACTGATAATTTGGCCTTCATGATGACAGCCTGGAAGAAATGCTTTTCCTAAAACTCTGCAGTAGCCTGATCGCACCACATCAGTGATAAGAGCAGCTCCATTCTTGTTTTTGGCGGCATTTCCCTGTGTCTGCTCACTGATAAAGGCCCACAGCTTATCAAGGTTGACAGTTGGACAGAAGCTCTGGTTCCTCTTTAAGTGGTAATGTCTCATACCAACTGCTCTGGAGTAACCTGGGTGATATGTGTCTCAGTTGTTCCTGTGGTGACACATGCCACCAGCATGACCCCGGCCTCCTGTGTGCTTGTCAATGCAGCCGTGGCCACGGCTCACGTGTCCCCGAAGTCTCTGGGTCTTCCTCAGTCCGGATGGCATGTCGGCAGCCCAGACGAAAGAGGGAGGCCCGGTCTGTGTACATTTTGATAGGGAGCACTAGCTTCCTTACTCCTTCAGTTCCTGCCTTCTTTCCCAAGGTTGTCCTTTAGTTAATGTTATTAACCCTGCACACTGTAAATCCACTTATCCACTTTTTTCTAAGATACATGTCTCTTGACAGTCATATCGCTGTTGTTTCCTGTATCTTTGCAGTGGTAAAAATGTGGATGGCTTCCTACAGACCTAGAAGGTTTAAAATTTTGTTTTTGCTCTCAAGGAGAAAAGACAGTTACATGAGGTACCTGCCTCTGTACTCTCTTCTGTTTCATCTTTCCTTCCTTTCTGGTATGCTTTAGGACCTGTTTTTTGTTTATGACGTTTAAAGACTTGGCATACTGGTGTCCGGTGGTCTTGCTTAGTTTCATGTCCTGAGGATACCTTTGCTGGGCTTTCTGCAAATCCATGCCTAATGTCTTGATGATCTTGGGAACACGCTTCTTTTATTTTCTGGATTGTGGCTCCATGTTGCTGTTTTTTGAAATGGGAGACTTCTAATTCTCTTCAGAGGTGGGACCTTTGTCTTCTTTAGGTCTCCCATCACCATTAATTTTTAAAATTAGTGGTGGCCTGATCAGGGAAATCCAAATCAAAACCTCAATGAGATACCACCTCACACCTGTCAGAATGGCTAAAATTAACAAGTCAGGAAACAACGGATGTTGGTGGGG